GAAGTACGCGACTACCAAGCCAGCATCCTCGAGATTGAGAAGCGGCCTAAGTCTAAGCGCAGAGGGGACCGTGCTTTCTCTGCTGCCGCCCCTGAACTGTGGAACGACCTGCCCCTGCTGATCAGACAGGCTCCCACACCGTCTGTTTTTAAATCCCACCTCTTCTCCTTAGCACTCGGAAACAAGTTGCTTTTATTTGCTTTCAGTGGTCTATTGTTTTTACTATATGGCTGTTTTTATTTTGTAATTGTTACGTTTATTCTGGTTTGTATCTTTTGTGATTTTATACTTATTTGTATGTTTTGTGAGCTGTGTGATTTTATATTTGATGCATCTCTCTGTACAGCACTTTGGTCTGGAGGTTTTAAAGTGCTATATAAATAAAGTTGGATTGGATAATTAAGCTGCTCTGATTCTGAAGTGTTCCCCGTCTAGAAGAGAGGCTCTGTCTCACCTCGGTCATGAGGATCAGTCCTCTGTTGAAGACGACCAGCAGACGGTCCTCGTCGTTCTCCAGCAGAACCCTGAAGGCACTGAGAGGAACAACAACAACAAACAGGAGGTCAAATCAGAGGAAACAAACTCGTGAAGACAAATGTCGTTCCTGTGTTTCTCTCTAAACATGTCTGTCGTTTCTTTATGTGTTTGTGAGGAAGGCAATGCTTGCAACATGTGGACCTCAAAAGATAAACAAAATGATTTTCCATGAGTACCATTGAATTTGTCTTTCACAAAATAATATATAGTTTGTCCCAGAGTCTCCAGCACTCGTCCCTCCAGAGGGAAAATGTCTCCCAGAAACAAACTGGTGTCGCTGTAGCAAAACTTAAAAATTGAATCAGATCATCATCCCGGAGGACTACTGACACAGAGTGTAGCTTGCAGGTGTGGTGTGGTGTGTGTGTGTGTGTGTGTGGTGTGTGTGTGTGTGTGTGTGTGTGTGTGTGTGTGTGTGTGTGTGTGTACCTGATGAGCGTGGTCCAGCAGGAGCGTCCGTCCAGGCAGCGAAGGTAACAGCTGATGGTTGTTTTCTTGAACTGCTTCACGTCCTCCAGCTCTTCTTCTCGCATGTCGGCTCTCTGAGCCACGAACAGCTGCATCAGGTTGAACAGCTCCTCCACCGCCTGCAGGGGGCAGCACACACACCTTAGTTTAGCATTTCTTAAATATTGGGTATTTTAGATCGCAGTACTGTAGTAAATGTTTCTGGTATCAGTACTTTACTCCACTACTTATTTTTCTGATGACTTTTGACTTTTACTTCTTACATTTTTAACCCAAATACCTGTACTTTATACTTGTTACATTTTGAACCCAAATACCTGTACTTTATACTTGTTACATTTTGAACCCAAATACCTGTACTTTCTACTTCTTACATGTTGAACCCAAATACCTGTACTTTATACTTGTTACATTTTCCAAACAGGCTTGTTCCTTTAGTTTGAAAGTGTGTTTGGTGGCGTGATCATTATTATTTAGAGTTAAGGGTGGGCGATATGACGATACGTCGAGACGATATTAGGTCTCCACGATATGCCTTTTCAGAGATATCATATGTATCGTGATAGTGCACCAGGGTAGGATTTTCATGGTGGCCATGACGGTCGGTCTGGCCGTGAAGCCCCGAAAATAATTGTACGTCCTACGGCCACCATGGCATCATGTTAAAATCTCGAAGTTGCTTTGTTATGCTGTGGCTGTCAGCTGTGTTTACTCCTGTCATTCAAACAGGATGGGCTGGAGAGGGGGCGGGGCTTATATCCATGACAAAATTAACCTATTTTACCGTGATTTAATTGTAATACACGTTTCAAAATGATGCCGAACTAACTAAATACTGATAACGGTTAGTAAAAACCAAGCTGTCTAGTCTTCAGACAGTATTGCCTATTGTTATTGCCTTTATTGTCTTGGTTGATTCCAGGCCCGGACTGGCCATCGGGAGGACCGGGAGGTTTCCCGATGGCCTGGCCTGTTAAGTGGCCTGCTGGCCTGAGGATTCTTTTTTTATGTATGTATTGTGAACACAACGCTGCGCAAATGTGGGTCTGACTCTGCCTCACAGCGGGTGACTGGCTGTCTACATGATGTGGCCTGCCGACATGGCCACTTTCATACACTAAAGCCCTCGATTGGTCTCTGTGTGTCATTCAAGCTCGGGAGGGTGTGTGTATGTGTGTCACGAGCGAGCGAGAGAGAAAGCGCGCGCCCCGGTTACGTGTATTGTTGTTGTTAGCATCTGGTGCTAGCTAGCTGCGCTAACGGATATCATGAGCTGTCAACAAGGTGGAGGAGAGTCCTCTGCTGTCAGACTGAGAGACTGATAACTACAGCTCAGCCTCAGGTGAGGTAAAGTGTTTAGTTAACTTAGTCTAAGTTCTCTGTGGGTCTCAAACGGTTTGGTCACCATTTATGTAAACATATATTTCCATTTGAAGGGGGAGTGATTAGTAAAATATGGATGAATAATAAAACTAGGTGAAAAAAGGCAAGATAAACTTTAAAAACATGTTGAGAGCTAAAACTAGTCTTTGCTGCTGCCTCAAAGAGGAGCAGGGGGAGAGGAGGGAGACAGGTGAGGCTGATTCAGGAGCCTAGACACGCTCACAACTATAAATGAACCAAAAACAAATAAATAAACAAGTTTCAATGTTTTTTCATATTGGATATGGTATGTTATTGGTTATGGCCATGTTCTTATGAATTTATGATTATTTAAATGTATACAGTTCTGTTTCATATGGGTGTAGTCTCTTTATTTCCCCCTCAAAGTGCACCAGATTGATGCATTTAAGTCCAACATTTAAACCTCTTACCGGGGGAGCATGCCCCCGGACCCCCCTAGAGGATTTGAGGTCCACCTCAACCTAAAATATGTTCACATGGATAGGTTCCTAAATAGATTTGCACTTTTTTTTTAATTAGTAACCCATGTCCATGTTTATTCTGGGGTAGTAGATTTAAAGTTTAGGGCTATCACTACGGGCAGCAACGCTGTAAATATTGACAAATAAATCCAGAAAAATGGCACAAAAGAAAACTGGTAGTGGCCTGGCTGGGTGTATAATTCCCGGCCTGACTTATTGTCCCAGTCCGGTCCTGGTTGATTCTGTTGGCTTATATTTTATTTTATCAATAACGTATTTATATTGTTTTTCCTTTTTGAAACAGATGTTCAGTTATGCTAAAGTCTTTGATTGCACTTCAAGTCTAAAGTTTACTTTTTAATTGTTTGGCACTGACTTTTCCTCATTGATGTTTTAGTTAGTTATGTTTTACTCTCCTTTTCATGTTTATTGATGTTACATCACAGCTAGTGCTACCTAAAACAGAAAGTGAATTTTTATACTGAGAAACTGTGCCTTGAAGCCATATCAAAATTCCTGTTGAATTGTTCATTCAGGGATTCATTGCAGAATTAAAACCAGCTTGAAATGGTATTTTGGTCTGTTACTCCTTTTTGTTTTAGTTTCTGTTACCTTGTAGGTGGTTGTACTGTTAAGTAACTTGAAAAATAACCATAATAACCGACAAGAAAAAATATCGTGATAAATATCGTCTATCGTGATACTGCTTGAAAAATATCCTGATATTATATTTTTCAATATCGCCCACCCCTAGTTAGAGTCATTGCGTGCCTATTGATTTGAACACGATCCGTGTATCCATCATTTCCTGGTCTTCTCTAAAGAAGAGGGACCAATGGAAACGTTGTCATGTTGCCGTTGTTCAGCATGGAAACATTCATTAGCTAACAATGACATTATTGTTCTATTAATATAAAGGGAGGTCAGGTACTCTTTAAAACAGCTGGGAGTTATGGGTACTTTTTACTGAAGGACATTTCAAAGCCTCTTTACTTTGACTTGAGTAAAGAACTTTAGTCAGTACTTCTACTTTCACCAGAGTATTTTTAAACACGAGTATCTGTACTTCTACTTGAGTCAAGGATGTGTGGACTTTTGCCATCTCTGCACATGACATAAACTGCTCATAACCAATTGCCCCTTGCGGGATTGATTGATTGATTGATTGATTGATTGATTGATTGATTGACGGATGCTCTGTACTCACGCCGGGGTACTGGCTGGCATGAGGCGTGAGGTTCTTGAAGGCCCACTGGATGTTCTGGTGCGATGCCAGCTGGCGGGTGAACGCTGGCGACTGCTCGCAGCACATCCTCAGGATGCCGTAGTAGGCGGGCAGCATGCCGCGGTTGAACAGCACCACCTCCTGGTCGTCGTGGTCGGCCAGGATGTAGTTGAAGGCGATGTTCTTCGTCACCACGGGGTTCTGCACCACCAGACGCACGTTCTCCGGACAGTCCACGCACATGTTGTACCAGAACGAGAGCAGAGCCTGCTTGTTGTGGTTCGTGGCGATGGCCGGCTCCGAGAGTTTGGGCTGGAGGCGGAGAAGAGAAACATAATGTGAAGCTGCAGAGCAGAAACTAATGTTTAGGGAAGAAGTGCAACTAGAAGGAGCAGAGGATTTCTTTTTACTGGCAGAGGGAAAGGGTTTTCATGACAGCTGCTCCATTTCAGAATAAAAAACCATAAGGTTAAGTAAAAATGTGCAAAAAAAAGATAAAATACAATACTAAATATATATGAAAAAGAAGTTAAGTCAATATTGTGCAATAAAGAAAAAAATATATTCATATAAACATACAATGTTAGATAATATGCAAAAAAGTAAATGTAATTCAATACAAATATTTGTATTTATATGAAAAGTAAAGTGAAAGAAAAGACCCAATAAAATTAAAATAATTATACAAACATAAGAAGATTAAATAAAATAGAATACAAATAATGGGCAGTAAAGTTGTATATTCATAACAAGTTGGCTAAATGTGTTAGACATACAATTATAAAATACAAATAAATGTATAAACATAAGAAAATAGAGGAACAAATGTGCAATAAAATAAATATGTATATAAACATAAGAAATCAAGTAAAAATGTTTAATAAGAAGATAAAATAATGTAATGTATCAGTACAGGATAGAGGAAACATTACTCATTAAGACAATATTAAGAATAATATCTTGGCGGCTGAGTCGTTGAAAAGTCGGCTCCGAGTCCTTTTTCTCTCCCTTTTTTGTGTGTTCATATCAAGAGGCAAAAAGTGCCACAAACTGCAGTTCATCTAGTGGCCGACAGGCGATGGCTGCAGAAAGGATGAATTCCCATAGACCCCCATGTTAAAATTCCCAACTTTACAGAAGAAATAAACATGTTTCTACCCCTGGATGCAATAAACATTATTCTGGATATAGTTAGATTCCACCTTCATGATTATGGATTGGTGAGTGAATTGTTTTATAACGCGACCCTTTTAGTTATATTAGGTCTTAAAGTTGTTGCATAAATTAGGGCGTGGTCACCTTGAGTGGCAGGTCTCTACAGTGAGTGCTGCTGCTAGCTTTCTGTCTCTCTGCTAGCTCCGTTAGCTCAGTAAGCTCCAGGATGCTACAGGGGCTCAGCAGCGAGGCTGATGCGGGGAACACAACTTGAACTCGTTGATGTGTTTTTTGATGTGTTGGTGCCTGGTGGAGTATTCTTCATTTGAATATCGGACTTATCTTATGGCTCTGCGGTTAAAACAGACCGTCCCTGAATGCAGTTTCTTCGGTAAGTGAATTCAAGCACTTTATTTCTTACTGGTCTTTTTATACAGCTAAGCTACATTTGTGCTAACGATACTATCCGTAGCATACAAGTTAAAACATATTAGAGAAGTGTAAAACATTAAGAAGGATTATACTGTAGAACAAACGGCTACTTTAGGCTACTACCGACAACGCCTACTTTAGGCTTCTCTGCAACTCTGCAGAATCCTATGGGTGACATCATGGACACTACGTTCATTTATATATACAGTCTATGGCACATATGTAATTTGACACTACTTGTTGCCTGTTGCCACTTGATCCGGCCCACGGGGGTCCTGGGGGGGGGGTTTATTTTATTTTTGTTTGTTTTGTAAGGGAACTGTTTGTATGTTCTTTCATGTGGTATGTATGTGTTTTGCACCATGTTTTTCTGTGTTTCTGCTTAAATAAATAAAATATTTGATAAAGACTAATATCTGTGTGTACCTGGAAGAGGTTCCAGAGGTCCATGAAGTATCCGGAGAACATGAGTTTCTCCGTCTTGGAGATGAGGCAGTACGTCATGAAGCTGAAGTACTGCACCAGCTTGGTGGTGCCGTGCACGCTGGCGTCCACGTACAGCTTGGCGCGGCCCAGCAGCCCCAGCAGCAGGTTGTACACCTGGTGCAGAACCACCGTGGTGTCGGGCGACAGCGGCAGCTCACGGGTCGGCAGGTGCAGCGAGCGCGTGGAGCGGAACATCTGACGGAAAGAGTTGCTGGGGATCAGGGAGACCAGGAGGTACGCCGCCGCTGGAGGGAGAGGCAGGGGACTTTAATATGTGAGCCTTTCATATTCTAATAGAGACATGGTCAGAAGAAATCATTACAATACTTCATTTATACCAGTGGAAACATGGTTTGGTGACCGATGCTTGATTTCACAAGTTAAGTAGAAATGTGCAATTAAAAGATAAAATAGAGTATAAATATTAGAAGCTGTTTAGTAAAAAGGACCACAAAAACAAATGATATTAAAATATATAAAAATGTGTGAGAGAAAGATCAAATGAAATAATTACATAACTTAAGGAGAAAGATCAAATGTGTAGTAAAAGAATACAATAAAAATAATAAATTAAATAGATAAATACAAATAAAATAACAGTACATTTTTATAAAATCAAATGTTAGGAAAAATTGTGTAATAAAAAATGTAATTAAATTATTCATCTGAACATAAGAAGTTACGGAGAAATATGTAAGAAAAAGGTCAAATAAAATATTATTTAAATATTTAAATAAAACTAAAAAGTTAAATAAACATGTGCAATAAAAAATAAATGAAAACACAACATTATAAATTAAGCAAAAAAGATAAAGATATGTATATGACATATGACCATAAGAAGAAATAGAAACATGCAATAAAAAGATACAATTATTTATGTTGACATAAGAAGTAAAATTAGCAATACAAAAAGATAAAATAAAATGTTATCAAATATCATACCCACCCTACCCAGAGACCCTTTAGGTTTTGTGTACCACTGAATGATAACACCTTAATGTCTGATAAACAGCTGCAGTATTATCAGAGAGCTGAGTTTCTCACATGTGCGGACTCGGGGGTAGTTGTGCGCCAGCAGGAAGCGCTCCACCCAGTTCTCCATGTTCTGCAGAACCCAGCTATGAGCCAGCTTGTTCCTCGGAGTCTGAACCGCCAACCAGTCCAGACACTGGGACGGGTTGTACTCGATCACCTGGAGGAAACAAACACACATGAAGACACACAATAAAAGACACCACAGCTCATCAGTGTTGGACTGCCATTAAGCTGACCTATGAAGAGATGTGTAGTATTAGTTTAAATCAACATGAGGTGAGGTTCATACTCTAAATATAGATCAGATTGCTCTGAATTGAAACCAGCTTTTTATGCACTCTGGACCCTTAGATGCATAAGTGGGTCTTTTTTGACCCGGTGAGGTGGTTTTCTTCTTTTATCATTTCATATTCCAGCTATTCCTCAAAAAACATGTTTGGGATATCACGCCATTCACATTTTAAATGTACATTTTAAGAAATTGTAGTTTTTGTATTTCTACCCCAAGCTTCCAATAAGTGGGTCAAAAATGACCCGCATGCATTTTCTATGGGATCCTATGGGAAAACGTTTTTTTTCAAAATGTAAAAAAAAATGTCTAAAATTATAAATAGTGAGAAATTAAATATTAAATATTTCTAGTGTGAACCAAAATATAATACTAAATATTATACAAGTGATTTCTCTTAACCAAAATGACATAAAAACACATTATTCTAATACGGGTCCTTTTAGACCCACTTATGGCAGAGTGTAGGGTCCAGTCACTCTAAGGCAGTGCTTCTCAAAGTGTGGTCCGCGGACCACTGGTGGTCCGTGAGTATATTGGTAAAATTTCACATTTGAAAGAAATACATTAATTTAAGTTTTTCGCCCTCTCGCGGGAATATCTCCGCAATGGAACGAGCTTAAGTTTCACTTTCGATTGCATGAAATAGCCCAGATAAACACCTTCATCACACATGTTGCCACTTGTTTATACCATTTTCAGGCGATTTGTAAAAAACGATGTGTTTTTGGATATTTGTGGAGTTAGGTGGTCCGCGTGTGTTTTTTTTATTGGTTAGGTGGTCCTTGGTATGAAAAAGTATGAGAAACACTGCTCTAAGGGCATCTAAGGGTTAAGCTAACTTCAATGTTACCAGGTGTGTACATATGCATTTTTGCAAACATATATAAACTATTTGGACAAGTTGTGAATAGTAAGTGTTTGGAAAGTAGTGAGCACCCATCTGGATCAATCAGACTGGGAGGAGTTGTGAAGGAGTTAAGAGTTAATAACGTAATCATCGGTGCCAATTTTAGTGATCAAACCAGTGTCTTTGTAGAATTTGTTTTTACCATTTAGAGCTTCTTCATAAAAAGAAACATTTATATTTATTTATCCAATATATAGTGAATGAATCAAATCAATTCAAAACACTAAAACGTCTTTCCCTGATAAATACAATAAACTGAAAATAATCCTTGTCAAGTTTTACCAAAGCCAATCGCTTGATTCTAAATATGTGACGGCTTTAAGAGAGGAGATTTAAGACTTGTTTGGAAGTTTAACAGTAAATGTGTTTACCTCCCAGATCCTCTGCAGGATGTAGGAGGCGAAGGAGGGCATCCCCGGGGGTCCGCCTGCAAACTCCATCAGCATCGTCAGCAGCTTGAAGAACGGGTTGGCAGCCTGACGGAGGAGAAGAGGAGAGGGTTGCGGTTGGAGAGCTACATCTTATACCTTAGATTATCAGCGGTCATATTTAGTTTATCACATCAACAACAGAGGCATACACTGCAAGAGGAAAGGGGACTCGTGATTCCAAAGATGAGAAGTTAAGGAGAAACTAATGATAGCTTGACAGTGACTCAATGTTCAAACATGCTTTTGTTTAGAGCTACAGAGTCAGAGTCAGGTTTATTACCAGGTAGGTTAACACATACGAGATATTGTACTTGGTGCTGTGGTGCATACATAAAATAAAACATATAAAAAGTTGTTTGGTAATCTATTTATGTCAATTGACTGAGGAAATGATTGCAAGCGACAGATATTTGGTCAGAATTCTGCTAATATCCAAAGCTATCACTAGGATGGGTTGAGGAGGCACCACCAACGAAAAATCAATGTGGAAGAAATCTTTTTGATGGAAAAACTGACTTAAATATAAATTGAGATTCCAAGAAACACGACTCAGCAGAAAGTGGGGAAAATGGACTCAAAACAAAGACATTTGTCTGGAACAATAGCTAATAGTTACATGTATCTTCAAGAATATAATAACATGAAGACATATCCATAGCCTTTAATTGTATTGCCTTGCCTGCCTTTTGTTACATGATTGTAATGTTGTTGTAACCAGCATGTTAATGCCATGTATAATGTGACAATAAAGATTTCAATTACAACAAAAAAACATATTTCAAGAAAACTATAATAACATTAAACAATATAGTGTAAAATAGTAGTATTTACATTGAATATGGTAATCCTCAAAATAGAATTGAATACATTTGAATAAAAGATAAAGCTGTGTGCATTGTGCTTACCTCAGGAGTCAGCTTAGCGATGGAGGTGAAGAGCATGGAGACAATCTGCAGAGAGATCACATCAATCAGGAGGAGGTTTTTAAATGAAGGACTGGCCGTAGTGATTAAAAAGGCACTAAATCAAGTTTGATCTGTAAAGTGCATCGCCCAAACAATGACAAAGACTGCACAGATCTTTGTCAAATGTTAAAACTGCTATTTTACTTCCTCCATTGAACTAATAGATACAGAGACCAAGCCGCTATGTGATTGTGAGGACGCAACATGTTACTTGGACCTCAAAGGAACGCAGAATGACTTCCTGTGCCATTGAATTGTTTACATATATATAGTGTGTCCCAGAGTCTCCAGCACTCGTCCCTCCAGAGGGAAAATGTCTCCCAGAAACAAACTGGTGTCGCTGTAGCAAGACTTAAAAATTGAATCAGATCATCATCCCGGAGGACTACTGACACAGAGTGTAGCTTGCAGTGTGTGTGTGTGTGTGTGTGTGTGTGTGTGTGTGTGTGTGTGTGTGTGTGTAGGTGTGTGTGTGTGTAGGTGTGTGTGTGTGTGTAGGTGTGTGTGTGTAGGTGTGTGTGTGTGTGTGTATGTGTACGTGTATGTGTGTACCTGACCGTGTACCTGAGTATGTGTGTGTGCCTGACTGTGTGTGTGTGTGTGTGTTTGTATGTATGTGTGTGTGTATGTGTGTGTGTGTGTATGTGTGTACCTGTGTGTACGTGTGTGTACATGTGTGTATGTGTTTGTGTGTTGTGTATGTGTGTGTGTGTGTGTGTGTGTGTATGTGTGTGTGTGTGTGTATGTGTGTGTGTATGTGTGTATGTATGTGTACGTGTGCGTCTGTCTGTCTTTGTGTGTGTGTTTGTGTGTGTGTGTGTGTCTGTCTGTCTTTGTGTGTGTGTTTGTGTGTGTGCGTCTGTCTGTCTTTGTGTGTGTGTTTGTGTGTGTGCGTCTGTCTGTCTTTGTGTGTGTGTTTGTGTGTGTGTGTCTGTCTGTCTTTGTGTGTGTGCTGAACCTACGTGCTCTGCGAGGCGGTTGTTATAGCGACAGAGGCTGAAGATGAGGTTGCAGGTCTGCCGGATGTTGATCCCGTCTCTGATGTGCTGGAACAGGAAGGGGAAGCCTTTCCCCCCCGTCAGCGCCGCCATGTCGCTCTGAGACAGAGTGAGGTGTCTGCAGGGAGAGAGCAGTCAGTCTGGAACTCAGGGAGCATTCAATAAAACAGGACTTCTCCAGTCCAATCCCTTTCTGTGGTTTCTTTTTGTTTAGTGTTCACCAACACTGCGGTCAGCTTCTCCTGGTTTGGATTCTTTCAGATCAGAATTCATAGACTATATTTGTTTTGTTTTCAAATACAACATTGTCTAAATAAAAAAAGTTAAATAAAATGACATTTAGTTTACTGCTATTCCCCTTATAGAGAGCCAGGACTGTGTCTGAAATGTTATTTTCTCTTCAGCAGGAGACACATTTCAGTTGTTCTCCTCCCCAAACCATATGGACCATGTGACCAAATCCAATAGAGGACAGGCAAGAAGAGAAATCAAACTTCTTAATACCTCCAAGGTCAATTAAACGTTTAAAAACATCTAAATTAGGTAGTTCCACGTTTAAAACCTGTATTTCTCCGGTGCTGATCCACTGCTGCTAACATTCGCTCAGTTTTTCTAATAACTACAGATCCAAACGTTTAAAGACTCAAATCCTTTATCAGATTAAAATATATAGTTAAAAAACTCAAATAACGTGTGATAGAAACCTGGCTTCAAACGGGATAAACAGTCGATTTAAAACAGCTTTGGGTAAACAACAACAAGGGGGATACGATGCCATTGCAGGACACCAGAGGAAACAGATGCTCCTTTGAACATAATTAAGCAAAAATATATAACGCAGGTTAAGTCATTTGTTCCATCATATCGTAGTCTTTAAATCGTGCCCTCGTACCTCTCTGAGCGCGACTGCTCCACCAGCAGAGCGATGAGCGCGATCATCTTCTCCAGAGCTGCAGGACGGTACTTCTCCTCGGCCAGAGACAAGATGTCCTCCTCTTCATCCTCCTCCTCCCCCTCCTCCTCCGACAGCACCTCCACCTGGGGCTGAGGGACCAACATGTACTCGTTATAGTGCTGCATTAGGGCTGCTTGATTATGGCAAAAATCATAATCTCGATTATTTGGGACAATAATTGTAATTGCGATTATTCATTGACTTTGACAACATCCATTTATTGGAGAAAAAAAATGTGAACAGTATTTTTTTAACAGTTGATTACCCTGAACTCTAAGTTGAACTCAACGGAAAAAAAAAAAAAAAAAATTATAATAATAAAAAAATAGTTTTATTTCGATTACGTTGTTTTCGTAATCGTTGCAAGCCATAATCGTAATCGCGATTAAAATACGATTAATTGAGCAGCCCTATGCTACATCAGTGTTGTCTATCACTAAATATATATCACTAAGATGGCTGTGCGACATAAACAAAGTCATCAGAGAGTGAACTCACATTCTCGGGGCCTTTGGTTCCCATGTAGAAATGCACCATGATGGAAATGGCTTGAAGAGACAACAAGAACTGACTCTGCAGAAACAGAACACACGCATTAGTTCACCTGCAAACAACTACTAATGATAATAATGAATGTATATATATTTAAAGTACACAATAAATAAAACACAACATGCTTCATATCTAAAAACTATAATATAAAACGATAAACAAATGTAATGTGTTTTAATAATATGACCACGCTTTTTAATGTATTAAATTCACTTGTCTGATACGGGTACTCAGATGCAACAATTTGAATCGATCTATCATTTAATCTAAATCTCAATAATTGTGAAATGACTAAGAAAGTATTTTGACCAAATATATTTTCCATACAAGATACTTTCATGGGATTATTTCTGATTCTCAAAAAGCAGCATTTATTTTCTCTCTCTCGTTACTTGTACATCCCTCTGTGCTGCCTATGGATGAAACGAGGCATGTTGTACATAGCAACTAAAACTGATGAAGCCTTTGGGCGACAAACATCTCTCAGTACAGAAGGTGAGACTAGTGACGGAGTGTTCGGACCGACCTCCTCCTCTCCCATCTTGGCGAACTCGTAGAGGAAGGCGAAATACTCCGTCAGGTGTTTGCTGTGCGGCTTCACCCCGTGCTCCATGATGGACAGCAGCGTCTTCACGAAGCGCGTCACGCAGGAGCGACTCCCGATGTCCTCCACCGGACCGTCCATATCGTCAGAGCTGAGGCACGCGGAGAAACAAAGGGGTTAGCAGAATCCAACATTTTCAGTTTTTTATTTATTCTACTATTTCAACAATTTGACAGTTTAGACAAACAATGAGTAGAAGCGGGGGGGCAGAAAGCACATCTTATACAGAGGTAGCCCCATCCAGTTGCAGGGTAAAGAACAAATAATACAATTCCGTAATTAAATACTCACACAGATAAACAAAATGCTATATATACAGTGTGCTTACAAAGAAGACATACAGCTCAAAACAAGGACAACTTAGATAATCAAACACAAGTTAAATAAGTCATAAATCTTTCTCAGAGTCCAGAGAGACGGAGCGACACACACCTCCTGTTTGATCTCTGTCACCATCTGATACAGTTCAAGCACACGACACTTTCTGTTTGTGCTGCACACATCTTATGGCTCACATTACACTGCCTTTAAAAGCATCTCATGGATTACTTTAGCTGCTCCTTCAGATGTGAAGAGACTTCCAATATATTTCTAATTCAAGTTTTATTACAATTCACTTCTTTGGGCTAGGAGAGAGGCGGTAATGGGAGGTTTTGGCTTCCTATTTGAAATGTTGGGTTGAATTGTATTTAATCGAGGAAAGATAAAACAATGTTTTGAAGGTGTGGTAAAGAACTTACAAATACAAAAATGTTGCTTTAAATGGCACTGACTTGCACATTAGCACACACACACACGGACGCCCCTTTTCTTATGTATTTATCTTTTCATGTCTATTTTTTGGGGATATTTTTGTAGTATTTTCTTTCATGTTCTCTTTCCATATGTTGGCTCTGTAGATACAGCTAAATTAAAATGGGAAAAATGGTTGACTAAAATGTGGATATGTCTGTATAATGAAACTACGTTAAAATGAATGAGTTATGAATGAGTCGGAGTGTGTTTTGATTATCTAGGATTATGAACAAAAAAGTGATCCCATACCCGTCCTCCATGCCGGGCTGCAGGTAGAGGTGAGCGTGAACGGGACGCAGCCTCTGGATCACGTGAATACACAACCTCTGGAACATCTGGAGGACACAAGACGTTTGGGACATGAGAAGATATGAGAATGAAACTTAAATGAATAAATACGACTATGAACAGGATAAAGGAAATGAAACCTGAAGGAATATGCGGTAAAATAGGGCTCGTTGATCACATGTCAAACTAGTTTTAACTAAACACCTCGATATCAATACTGTAACAAAAGTGTAGTGCTGACTATTGATGCTTTCACAACATTTTTAAACAATGAGAAGCCTGATAAATAATTATCGGTAATGTGGATTCAAGGAATAAGTCTGTGAAGAAAGATAACAGAACAAAATAATGTGAATTTACTGTAATGCAGTCTTTAAAACCAGACACCGCCTACAACATTAAGATTCAAGAAACATCTAGTATTAGGTCGCATTCACACCTAAAAGTCGCTTCTCTGGTGAACACGACAGTTTATTACATGGTTTCATTTTTCAGAAGGTTTGGTTTGCGTTCCCACGGGCAAAACTCAAACGGACTATAAACTTTAAACACAAGACATGTGCTCGGAAATGCTGTTCAACCATTGGTCAGACATTAAGGGGGGAAAACGCAAATCTCGGCAATTTCTACCGTAGCTTTGGAGCCGGTTATTTTCATGCTGCTGTTGATCTGGAGAGCATATCATCAACTGACTCTAGCAGACTGATGATTACATTATAAACATTACAACACAATGAGACGTTCTGCAGTCAGGAGGAGGTTTCACCGACGACAGCTGGCTCTGACTTCTATGTGTAGTTTTTAGTATGATAGTTGTTTCTAATTTACACCGCACTGGTCAACACTTCGTTCTGCTTCACTCTTTCACTAACGATGTTGAAGACATCCACGTTCTTGTGACTCGTGAATACTACGCCTCCTGTGTTTTGGTGCGGACTGCGTTCACACAGAGATGATCCGCTCCAGAGTTCACTAGCCAGCGCTCTGAGACCACCTCTTATAGGACCAGGGTCCGGTTGTTTAGTTCACTGCAGAGGTCTCAGACTGCGCTCACACCGACCCAAACGAACCGCACCAAGCGGGTAAACACACCAGGGTTCAACCGGACTAAACACGGCTGGTGTGAATGCGACCTGACTTCACAACATAGATAATAACAATACATTTTGCACCGCCTGATGTTAAAATGATGTTATATCAGATGAAAAACTCACTTGTCTGACTATCTGATTGGGGCACTTTATGAGGATCTGCATCGGCCACCAGTTATCATCCGCCATTCGATCCAAAAACCACTGAAACAGAGGAGAAGTTCAATGAAAACACCATACAGTAAATATAGGATCACCGCCACATTATAATACTGAGAGTAAGTAATGGTTAAAGCCCGTTTCTGACCTCGCAGGCGGCCTGGCTGTTGTTGAACTGTTTGGTCAGGAGCTCGATCCACTGCAGCATCGTGGGCTGGAGGTCAGAGAGCAGGAAGGAAGTCAGTTCATCTACACTTTAGTTAGAAATTAAAAGTCCTACATTAGGTGAGAGGGCTTTACCTTCTCCTTAGAGTGGATGAAAGTCTCGAGGACAAACGATGTGCTGAGCTGTGAAGAGAAGGACATTAACAGTGATCAATGCGAACAATTTTGATAAAAACAATTTACAGATTTTCTATTAACTATCAGTTTTGTGCCCAGAAAACAAATGTTTTTGTAACTAATTTATTTTCATACCCATTAGGCTTTAGTTAATTATTATTTTTTGATTAATGTGGACTATAAAAAGGTCAGAAAAAACAGAGATATTTCGATTTCTAATGACACAAAACAGAGAGAATGAACAATTAAGATTTTGTTATTTTTGCTATAAATAAAATAAATAAATAAAGACTTAAAGATGATGATATATATATATATATATATATATAATCAACCTATATTACAGGGGTGTCAAACTCAATTTCATCATTATGGCTGCACTCAAAGGGCCGGTTGTAACTTTAAGACTTTATAAATATACATCTATAAATATTTAATATATATAAAATAATGTATTATATTACATGATTGCTTCTGCATTGGATTATTATCAGATGGGGTAATAACTTATAATTGCATGTCTCTTCAGTGCCATGTCACACAATGAGATGCATTGTGGGACATGTAGTTTATGGGCATAAAGTGGCATGTAACCGTATAATAAACGTATTATATTCTTTGCAAGCTCTTGCAGGCCACATAAAATGAAGCGGGCCTCGAGTTTGACACCCCTGACCTATACTTTATCTTCAAGCTGTATTATTTCTCACCTTAGCGGTCATGAGGGAGACGGCTTTAGGGTCGGGGAGCGTGCTGGGGATGCTGCTGCAGAGCTGCCACATGAAACTGAAGGAACACAAAGGAATAAGTATAAGCAAATGTGGAAGGGTGAGTATAGATAGTTTCACTCTTTCAAAATAACTCGGTAACAGATTTGTGACCCACCCAAAGTAAGTGTGTTCAAATATATTTTTGTCCTGGAGAAACTGCATGTTGTCGTGCCAAATCCACTGCGAGAGACAGACATTAGAGATTAGACGTCACTTTATATACATGTATTGACATTATTCAAAGTGTAAAGAAAGTGAAACCACGGTACCTCCAGCAGATCAGGAGAGACGTCAAAACTGAAGTCCTTCCCGTTCTCCTCCTCCAGCTCCACTCGCTTATAGAACAGCATGTAGGCACTGTGTGTCTGCGAGACGATGAACATGTCGTTATTACTTTCTGGAGCAAACGTGGTGACATGGACATTTTAAATGAAACTGATCCTCACCTTCTCAAAAGAGAAATCCATGAACTTGTCTGTGACAGAGTCGTAGGTTTTAGTCTGAAAGATAAAACTCATGTCAGCAAAATCCAAAAGAGACAAATACAATTCATTTAGTGTATTTATTTACTGCAGCTCGTACCGTCATTTCTCCTCCGAAGCACTCAGAGGCCAGCTGGGCCGAGTCGAAGGGCTTCACCTCGGCATCGTTGAACAGGTACCTGCAGGAAGATTGGTTTTTAAATCCTACTTCATATCTGATATTGAACGTTTTCAAAAACCTGGTGCATAAGACTGATGTCTCACTCGATAAAACCATTCAAACTCAAAAGATATTTCCACTTTTACAAGCTCAAAGTCTAATTTAACAAACAATATGAGGTAGGGGGGGGGTGTGTGTGTGTGTGTGTGTGTGTGTGTGTGTGTGTGTGTGTGTGTGTGTGTGTGTGTGTGTGTGTGTGTGTGTGTCAGGACTTATAAACTGAAGACAGACAATTGTAGATGGTATGATAATAATTTGACTACCATTTACTGTGATATAGTTACAGCCTACTCACCACTTGTTGTTCTTGTAGGCGTGCGGGTTGACGATGTCTCTGATGAAGCTGTAGTAATGGCCGCCGTCTGCTGTGCCCGTGTGGACCGTGACGCCGATGAGGTCGTACTCGTAGCTCTCCGTAACTTTTGCCTCTCCTTCTTCCCGAAAACCTGCAACACGTGACAGACAACGCTCAGAAACTAATGTAGTTTATCCACATCAGAAATGTACTGCACATCTTCTACTTCCAGGATGTAGCCAAACACGTAAAATTCAGTAGGTATTTGTTCTGATATTTTGATTAGTTTGAGGTGTTTCTTGATGTTTGGACGAACCCTCTTTGCGCTCTCCCTTGCCCATGAGGAAGTCCTCGGTGTAGGGCGTCATGTCGAGACGCAGCGGGAAGGAGAAGTGTGTGTTGACCTTCTCCTTCATCATCGTCACCATGTTGAAGGTGTATCTCATGGTGTTGAAGCTCAGGATCCGCGGAAGCTTCTTGAAACACGCCCTGAGGGAAGAGAGACGAAGAATAGAGTGAGATACATTACAGGTGAAGTTGTGAAAATCGCCCTTTTTTGTAATCTTGCATGTTGTTGTTTTTTACATGTGTAGGAATTAGGATTAAAATTAGTTTGCTTCTAGTACGTTTTTGGAAAATAATTCAGAAAGGCGGTTATACTAAAAGTGATTTAGTTCTATTGAGGGTAAACTAACAAAAAGTACACAGATTGTGCCTTTCTGCTCTTCTGTTTGATTGGTTGTTTCAGTTATCAGTTAGTTTGACCTCTGGTAATTGGTGGAGGTCAGTAAGAGGGCGGGACATTCAGGCGATACACAACATAAAATCTATACGGTTTATAAGGATCTATTTAGTAGCAGGGTGTCATTATTTACCCTAAACACGTTACCCTTCACTGTAGCTAAACACCAAACACCCGATCATTCCAGTCTCGAGTAATAATGAATGTTTATAATTAATATCTACCCAAAAACAGGTGTTAGGATGCTACACATGTTACCCCTAGATTCCACCGGGTCCGTCTGCGCCGCGGCGTTCACAGCGATCGTGGCCACTCAATGGGTGCTATTCCACCAGACGCACCGCGTTACGGCTAGAAGCGTCCCAGAAGCGTCTCGGCGCTGGGCTCCGCTAACAATAGGCGGCTGGTATTTTTCCGACGCGAGGCTTTGTAGAGGCGCCGGGCAGGAAGTGGACCGGTCAAAGCATCCAGTCAATCCCCAAAATAAAACACATTTTGCAGACCCTATCTCTCCGTAGTCTTTCAAGTAGGAGGAGAAATGCCAGCGTTCTCACCCGGTTTACAGGCACTGTGTAAATTATATATATATAGAATAATTATGATGATTAATACATTTTTACCACTAAAATACAGCAACACATCTTTGATTCATGTCGTTTATAACTGGGATATTACAATTATTATTAACTTTGTCTGCACAAAGTAGCCCGTCCAGGAAATATATCCAAATCAACAAAAACTGCGAGCCGGCACGCAAGACGCTCCGCTTCTGAAACGCGCCCGGTTGGGTATGACGCAGGAAGAGGTCGGACCAAAACCGCGGCGCAGACGGACCCGGTGGAATCCCGGGGTTAGTTTGATTAAAACAAATCCACAGACCTCTTCTCAGCGCGGACCTTCTTGCCGCACTGGGAGCAGGTGTACATGTTGTCGCCTTCAAGAGTGTCCTTTATCGTCACTTCATCCAGAGATTCCTAAAGAAAACACACCATAAGAAATCTCAGTCAACTTTTCATGAGTTTCTCAAATAAACAGCCCAGTTTTTAGCTATGGTTCACAGCTGATGCTAAAAGGTCTTCAAAGGGTTTATTGAGATTAAGAAGTAGGAGAATTGCCTCATCGTATAAAAGTTACACTTCATACTTTCGTTTATCAGAAATCACTACATTTGAGATACATGTGTAACTACAGCTATCTTACAAATGCAGTGGAGTCAAATTATAAAACTGCATCCAATGGAAATACTCAAGAAAGATTAAGGTACTTCAAATGTATATTTAGGTACCTTACACTTACTAGAATACACTTAGTTGTCTCTGTGTTTTATTAACTCACGTAGATGTTCTTCATGTCCGCCACTTGACATCTGACCGTGTAAAACTCCTCTGCGGTCTGACTGACGTGGTCGCAGTCCTGCAGGGAAAGACGGATCAAAGTTTCACTAAAAGTCTCCAAAACTGAAATGTTTTCTTTCGTCCAACACTTGAAATAAATGACTATACCCTGTGAACTACATCTGGATAGTGCACTCTGAAGATATGTTGTTGATACAATACATTCAAAATAAAAGCAGTGGCAATATTTTTCACCATCAATGGTTTTACATAATAAAATACATTTGATTCTGGTGTAAAAAAGAAAAAGTGTGACATAAAAGAAATACTTAAAAAGTAAATAATAATAGAGCAAAGAATACAAATATGTTATTCGTTATATTAGATACAAATATTTGAGCTCCAAATAACCCACTTTTGGAAGTTAAATGTTTAATATGTTAATCCCTTACTCACCAGAGAGACCACATTGTTGGTGATGACGCCTCCAAACAGAGTCTTCACTGTGTTTTTCTGTGAGAGGAAATAAAACACATTCATCAAACTTCAGGAGGATAAACTATTACTCATGCTTTTAAATATGTTGACACAGTTACGCAATTTAGGGAGTTATTAGTCTGAGTCAATGAGCACATGTATAGTGAGGCTGTCCCAGAGTCTCCAGCATTAGTCCCACCAGAGGAACTATGTCTCTCAGAAACAGACTGGGTTCACTTTAGCAAAACTCAAATTGAGCCGGATCATCGTCCCAGAGGACTTCTGACACAGAGTGTAGCTGGCAGACGATTATATGCACGTATTTATGTAAAGATGTAATTGTCAGGAAATATTCAAATGTTTATAGTGAAGTTGTGTTTTCTTTAGATAAAGCTTTATTGTCTCCCTTAGGAGAAATTTGTCTTGGGCATCGAGATAATACACATAAAACATTCAGGTCAATCAGTCATAGATACAGAACAGAGATCACATGGCAAAGAAACATACAGGTACAGCACTTTCCCTATTGCATTCATACACAAATCAATATTGCACTTTCCCTATTGCACCTATGCATAGTGTCTGTCAAATTGCACATATCCCTATTGTGTCCATACCTATTTACACATATTGCACTTCCCCTATCTAACCTTCTCGATTTTTTAAGGAGAAAATAGAACACACATTTGGAGAATACACAACAATACATTGGCATAGGAGTTGTCAGTCTGATGTGTGAAGCTGTGTGTGTGAAGCGGTGTGTGGGAAGAGGTGTGTGTGAAGCTGTGTGTGTGAAGCGGTGTGTGGGAAGAGGTGTGTGTGAAGGTGTTTGTGTGTGTGTGTGAAGCTGTGTGTGTGAAGCTGTGTGTGGGGAAGAGGTGTGTGTGAAGGTGTTTGTGTGAAGGTGTTTGTGTGTGTGAAGCTGTGTGTGTGAAGGTGTTTGTGTGAAGGTGTTTGTGTGAAGGTGTTTGTGTGTGTGAAGGTGTGTGTGTTTACCAGCTCCTGGGACATCTCCTCGATCTTGGTGATGAGGTCGGTGAAGAACTCCGTCATGTCCTTCTGCTCGCCGGTGTTCAGCGGCTGTTTGTCCATCGTGTACGTTTTACAGAACGGACGAGGGTTGTACGCCTTCCTCTCGCTCTCCTGGAGACAGAGGGGATTCAGATCAGATTAGGTTTAGATAATGAATGAGTCGTGTTGTTGTTGTTGTTCAAACTCTGTGTCTGCAGAGCTTCAAATGATTTGTGTGCCGTTAGTAGTGCTTTGATTAATCCAGCACATATTTCCTGGATTAAATCGATTAATTGTTTGGTCTTGAACATTTTAGAAAATTAGCTTGTAGACACGTCATCAATTCAAACAACAGGCGAGTAGATACGCACATTTATAATCTTGATGTAGTTCATTGAGGCTGTCCCAGAGTCTCCAGCATTAGTCCCACCAGAGGAACAGTCTCTCAGAAACAGACTGGGTTCACTTTAGCAAAACTCAAATTGAGCCGGATCATCGTCCCAGAGGACTTCTGACACAGAGTGTAGCTTGCAGATGAAGGTGTGTCTTTTTGCGAAGAAGTGGAACTTTTTATAATGTATATTGTGTTAGGATGAGCTATTCCTTCAACCTTCTGTTTGTGCCCTATAAAAGAAAATAATGCACTTGAATCTAGGGCGGCGGTGCACGTTTTTCACATTTGTGGTTCCTTATTTTATTACTAACCTCTGCTCTCTGTAGCGTGAATATCAAAATCCAAAGTAGATGATGATTTTAAAAACATGTACATCTGTTTTATTAGTTCTATGTCCTATACATGAGAGTAACACATGCGTCACTTACGGGCAAAGGGTACAGCTCCGCCCACTTTTGAATGGTGGTCAATACACATTCTGAAGTTTTTACCAATTCGATCAGGCATTTAAGAAAACCGTGGATTTGTGGATCTTCAAAGAACCCGATTACAATGGCCTGACAGGCAAACAATTACATTCAATCATTGGAAATCGACGAGCGGGCTCGATATATGGTTAAATATAGCAGTAGGCTATCGATGTCGATGAGAGTAACATCTACGTCACTTTACGACCCCGCCCACTTTTGGAGGAAACCAACGCTGTCATTTGAATGGCGATCGAGCCTGAAGCCACAGAGCTCTTCTGCTTCTGTCCTTTCTTCTCAGAGGAAGTTCAGAAACACTGAATCTGGATTTGTTTTAATGTTTGAGGAGCAATAAATGACACAGCAGCTTGTTGGCATGTTAAAACTATTATTTTCTGCCTCGCTCATGAGAATAACAGCTGGCGAGATTACAGCCTCGCCTACTGATTTTAATTTAACCATATATGGAGCCCGCTCGTCGATTTCCAATGATTGAATGTAATTGTTTGCCTGACTGGCCATCGTAATCGGGCTCTTTGAAGATCCACACATCCACGGTTTTCTTACATTTCTGATCGGATTGGTAAAAACTTCAGAATGTGTATTGACCGCCATTCAAATGACAGCTTTGTTTTCCCCCAAAAGTGGGCGGGGCCGTACATTTCGCCCTGAAGTGACGTAGGTGTTACTCTCATCTATATATATTCATGTTGCCCTGTTAGAGGAGCCTGTGACTTTAGCTACAGTGTAGATATGGCAATGACAAACTAATGTGCCCATGACAATCAATCCTTGAATTGAATAAAACTCACCATGAGATATGTGAACATCTTCTGCAGCTCCAGCAGCGTGGTCTTGTGCTTGATATCCTCAGCGTACTGCACACACACACAAACACAGTATAAGAATCCACACACTCTTCTTAATCTGAATGAGGTTTTGCTGCCCTCAGTTCGTCCTGCAGGCACTGACCTTGGCGGTGAACACGGCCTGCCGCGCCTCGGGGATCATGTAGAGCTGCTGGATGGTGGAGGCCAGGTAACACGTGGCCCCGAGGTTAGTCAGACCCACGAAGCGACACTCGGCCCGAACATCGTCGTGGGGCCAGTAGTCCCACTTATACGGGGCGTGAGAAGCTGGAGGATGGATAAAAGAACAATGTAGTTAATTAGGACATGTAGAGCGTGGCTTCTTTCGTGAACAAGCTGGTTGTTTTGTCTGTGATCTAGAAATGAAATGTATTAATCAATATTTCTATGAACTATCAGAATTGTTTGAGCTTTTTGTTGTAGTTTTTAAGCACATTTACTGTGTAGTTCATTGACGTCTGTCCCAGAGTCTCCAGCATTAGTCCCACCAGAGGAACAATGTCTCTCAGAAACAGACTGACTTTAGCTAAACTCAAATTGAGCCAGATCATCGTCCCAGACACAGTGTAGCTTGCAGACGATTATATGCACGTATTTATTATTTGTATATTTAGATATACTGTAAGTACTTTAGGAAGAGCTTTATGAAATGCCTTAGTGTCTGACATGTCCTATAAATAAACTTGCCTTGTCTCGAACATCACAACAATATCAATCTTTCGTCGGTAAAGTTTTGTTTACAAGGAGGAAATATCTGCACGCTTATGTGTCCGTTTTGGAAAAAGGTAACCACAAATATTGTAATAGTACACTTTCAGAAAATAAACAAAGACCGGCTGAAATTAAAATAACAGAAAACCTTAACAGCTGATCAGGTGGTGGAGGAACTTTAAAAACGCCTCACCTGTAGTGACAGTTCATGCCTTTCTTTAAATGTTCACTAACTTATCTGTCGGACAATTTAAACACAAACAACCACAGAGATATTTCTATTTCAAACAGCTGGGGTAGCAAACTTTCAGACCTAAAGTAAATTACATTTTGACAGTTGAAGACCTCACTTATCTGTTTTTGCTGCTAGCGTTTTAAGACAAGAGAAATCCTCATAAGGAAAATCAGGTGTCAAAGCTGCAATAAAAGTTATTTTCTACCTGGTAACCAACTCTAGATATAAAGAGACACGTAGTTATCTTCCTCACCTTGCATGTGCTGGGACATGACCCAGTTGTGCAGCAGCCGGTAGTTTTCCACGGATCCCTTCACCGTCTCCACCAGCAGGTCGTAGGCGGCGGCCCGGGCGGCGTGAGATTTACATTTGGGCTGAGCGCGGTCTGCCAGGCTGGGCAGGAGGAAGAGGAGGTTGTGCACGTCGCGCAGGAACTCCTGACCCTCGCGCGAGAACTTGAAGGGAGGCTTGTGTTTGAGGACGCTGGTGGCGAGACGCAGGAGGCCCGTCAGCCCGTCGTCTTCGATCATCCCGTCCTGCTGGTCCAGGATCTCACGGCTGAAGGAGAGAGACAACCAGGTCATGGTTTGTATATAATGTATAATTATTTAGTGTAAGCGTTTATTTTGAAGGCGGTTTTGGGCACTGGCTGGTTTGGGCACCTGGTGATAATTGTATATATTGGACACAGGTGGTGGGATTAGCCTTTGTTTGTTAAATGTTGGATAATTGGAGTTCATAGACAAAGAATGCACAAAAACAACATTCTTGCCTGGAAAATGTATTATTCTCTGCGTAAGATTCGCTTTTCCTGGTGCCTCAGCGGCAATTTAAGTTTGAATTACAGTTGGGTTCATTTCCATTCATATACAGTTTTACGATATATATGTATCTCGTGTTTTCAGAGCACAGATTCTGACCTCCGGATGCAGTCAGCGAGGTGTCGAGCGAGAGCGTCCAGGTCGAGCAGCGTCGTCTGCAGCGGGGTGGCCAGCGACAGAGAGGGAGAGACCTTCTGTGAGTTCAAACAGACCAACACTAGCAGCAGCTCCATGACACACCAACGCAATGCTACACAAATAAAGGTCCCCTATGATACTGTTCATCAATATATCACAGCTCTCAGATATATACAGAACCTGTCTCTGATTGGCTGGAACACCAAACAGATCATTGCAGCATTACCCATAATCCCCTCTGTTTCAGCCCTGTGTCCAAAGTGCTGATTCTCTGTCTGTTACTTTAGATGAAAATAAGGAGCCCCTCCCCACGCCCCTCTGAGAGACATTTGGTTACAAAGAACACAATGGTGCTCTAGGAGGAGATTCAGGTGATAAGGGGGGGGGGGGTTACCTTGGTTGCTGATTGGCTAATGGTTACACAAGACAAAACATCGTTATGACATCATAAAGTGGCCAAAATCTGATCGGCTCATTTTCAGACAGGTTTTTATAGAAATGGATCAAAAAGAGAGAGAATCTTTGTTCCTGAAACTTTCAGAGTCTCTTTCCACAGAGGGGACACATGTTGATGTAGAAGAGACATGGAGAAGAGGGGACACATGTTGATGTAGAAGAGACATGAAGAAGAGGGGACACATGTTGATGTAGAAGAGACATGAAGAAGAGGGGACACATGTTGATGTAGAAGAGACATGAAGAAGAGGGGACACATGTTGATGTAGAAGAGACATGAAGAAGAGGGGACACATGTTGATGTAGAAGAGACATGAAGAAGAGGGGACACATGTTGATGTAGAAGAGACATGAAGAAGAGGGGACACATGTTGATGTAGAAGAGACACGAAGAAGAGGGGACACATGTTGATGTAGAAGAGACACGAAGAAGAGGGGACACATGTTGATATAGAAGAGACATGAAGAAGAGGGGACACATGTTGATGTAGAAGAGACATGAAGAAGAGAGGACACATGTTGATGTAGAAGAGACATGAAGAAGAGAGGACACATGTTGATGTAGAAGAGACATGAAGAATAGGGGACACATGTTGATGTAGAAGAGACATGAAGAAGAGGGGACACATGTTGATGTAGAAGAGACATGAAGAAGAGGGGACACATGTTGATGTAGAAGAGACATGAAGAAGAGGGGACACATGGTGATGTAGAAGAGACATGAAGAAGAGGGGACACATGTTGATGTAGAAGAGACATGAAGAAGAGGGGACACATGGTGATGTAGAAGAGACATGAAGAAGAGGGGACACATGTTGATGTAGAAGAGACATGAAGAAGAGGGGACAGATGTTGATGTAGAAGAGACATGAAGAAGAGGGGACACATGTTGATGTGGAAGAGACATGAAGAAGAGGGGACACATGTTGATGTAGAAGAGACATGAAGAAGAGGGGACAGATGTTGATGTAGAAGAGACATGAAGAAGAGGGGACACATGTGATGTAGAAGAGACATGAAGAAGAGGGGACACATGGTTGATGTAGAAGAGACATGAAGAAGAGGGGACACCATGTTGATGTAGAAGAGACATGAAGAAGAGAGGGGACACATGTTGATGTAGAAGAGACATGAAGAAGAGGGGACACATGTTGATTGAAGATAGAGACATGAAGAAGAGGGGACACATGTTGATGTAGAAGAGACATGAAGAAGAGGGGACACATGTTGATGTAGAAGAGACATGAGAAGAGGGGACACATGTTGATGTAGAAGAGAGACATGAAGCAGAGGGGACACATGTTGATGTAGAAGAGACATGAAGAAGAGGGGACACATGTTGATGTGAAGAGACATGAAGAAGCGGGGACACATGTTGATGTAGAAGAGACATGAAGAAGAGGGGAACATGTTGATGTAGAAGAGACATGGAGAAGGAGAAGAGGGGACACATGTTGATGTAGAAAGAGACATGAAGAAGAGGGGACACATGTTGATGTAGAAGAGACATGAAGAAGAGGGACACATGTTGATGTAGAAGAGACATGAAGAAGAGGGGGACACATGTTGATGTAGAAGGACATGATAAGAGGGGAAACATGGTGAAAGAAGAGGGGAACACATATTGATGTAGAAGAGACATGAAGAAGAGGGGACACATGTGGATGTAGAAGAGACATGGAGAAGAGGGGACACATGTTGATGTAGAAGAGACATGAAGAAGAGGGGACACATGTTGATGTAGAAGAGACATGTGAGAAGAGGGGACACATGTTTGATGTAGAAGAGACATGAAGAAGAGGGGACACATGTTGATGTAGAAGAGACATGAAGAAGAGGGGACACATGTTGATGTAGAAGAGACATGAAGAAGAGGGGACACATGTTGATGTAGAAGAGACACGAAGAAGAGGACACATGTTGATGTAGAAGAGACATGAAGAAGAGAGGACACATGTTGATGTAGAAGAGACATGAAGAATAGGGGACACATGTTGATGTAGAAGAGACATGAAGAAGAGGGGACACATGTTGATGTAGAAGAGACATGAAGAAGAGGGGACACATGTTGATGTAGCAGAGACATGAAGAAGAGGAGACACATGTTGATGTAGAAGAGACATGAAGAAGAGGGGACACATGTTGATGTAGAAGAGACATGAAGAAGAGGGGGACACATGTTGATGTAGAAGAGACATGAAGAAGAGGGGACACATGCTGATGTAGAAGAGACATGAAGAAGAGGGGACACATGTTGATGTGGAAGAGACATGAAGAAGAGGGGACACATGTTGATGTAGAAGAGTCATGAAGAAGAGGGGACACATGTTGATGTAGAAGAGACATGAAGAAGAGGGGACACATGTTGATGTAGAAGAGACATGAAGAAGAGGGGACACATGTTGATGTAGAAGAGACATGAAGAAGAGGGGACACATGTTGATGTAGAAGAGACATGAAGAAGAGGGGACACATGTTGATGTAGAAGAGACATGAAGAAGAGGGGACACATGTTGATGTAGAAGAGACATGAAGAAGAGGGGACACATGTTGATGTGGAAGAGACATGAAGAAGAGGGGACACATGTTGATGTAGAAGAGACATGAAGAAGAGGGGACACATGTTGATGTAGAAGAGACATGAAGAAGAGGGGACACATGTTGATGTAGAAGAGACATGAAGAAGAGGGGACACATGTTGATGTAGAAGAGACATGAAGAAGAGGGGACACATGTTGATGTAGAAGAGACATGAAGAAGAGGGGACACATGTTGATGTAGAAGAGACACGAAGAAGAGGGGACACATGTTGATGTAGAAGAGACATGAAGAAGAGAGGACACATGTTGATGTAGAAGAGACATGAAGAAGAGGGGACACATGTTGATGTAGAAGAGACATGAAGAAGAGGGGACACATGTTGATGTAGAAGAGACATGAAGAAGAGGGGACACATGTTGATGTAGAAGAGACATGAAGAAGAGGGGAATAGTTGGGTAAGGGTCTCACCTGGCTGGCGTCTTTAACGTGGATGTTGTCGATGAGTTTGCAGAGCAGCCAGAAGTATTCCTTACAGCCCGTCTTCAGCAGAGGCTCCTCCTCATAGTCCTCCACCTGCAGCAAACACACATTCGCATCAAACTCATTTCTTAACAGAAAAGAGAACACATTTTGTACTCTTTAAAAGTTAATTTAAATCAAAAGGTAAACCAGATTTTCTTTTAACTTCAATCTTGCAAATGAGATGCTTAATTTTTAGCAGAACCTGTCTTGATTAGAGTTTATCAATTGTATCACTACCGACTACTAGTGTACCACAATACTATATTTCATCTAAATGTATTATATTCTAGTGTGTGTGTGTGTGTGTGTGTGTGTGTGTGTGTGTGTGTGTGTGTGTGTGTGTGTGTGTGTGTGTGTGTGTGTGAGACCCACCCTGAGTGGTTTGAGGGCCTGAGCGTCGGGCAGGAACTTGAGCAGCGTGGAGGCGGCGAGCAGCAGGAAGGATCTGTTGATGGACTCTCCGCTCTCCAGCCCCGACAAAGACAGCTTGTAGAGGCCGTTGCACGCCTCGTGTCTCACCGCCGGCTGAAAACAAACACCACACGTAAGACAACAAACTAAAGAAACAACAACACATGTTACTTACTCCAACTGCTATTCGTTTATTGCTTAAAGAGTTTTCATGTAACTTTCACGTGTTTTTTTATTATTGCAAATATTTTGTTCCTTTCTACTTCAATGTAAATACTGCTATATTTTACTATATTTTTTAATAATACATTTCATAACACCCAAGGACACCTTACAGGGCATAGGGGCAATATAGGGAACAATTAAAACAGTGGATTTAGTGAAGTATCAGCCGGGGTAAGACAAACAACAGGAAATGGACTACAGAAGGACACAGAAGGACACAGGGTACAGTTTATAAAGAAAATGCCAGTTTGAACAGGTGGGTTTTGAATGTTGTTATGGAGTCAGACTGTCGGATGTGTCGTGGCAGGGAGTTCCAGAGTCTGGGAGCCGAGCAGCTGAAAGCTCGAGCACCCATGGTTTTGAGTTATTATAGTTTTCTGCAAACTGTTTTTAAATTGTTGTTTTACTTTGATGTATGCACCATGACATCAAGTTAAATTCATCGTACGTGTCAACCTACCTGGTGATAAACCTGATTCTGATAAGATCACATGAATGAACTGTTCGTGCATGAGTTTGTTTTATGTCTTTGAAAGCTGCTTCCAGTCTCACCTCAGGCACCAGCAGCGTGAGCTTCTTCAGCCAGTCGTGAAGATGGTCGCTGTCGGCCAGACTGGACTTCACCGTGGAGGAGCAGTGGGCCCAGCTGACCAGCAGCCACATGGAGTAGTGGGTCACTGGGGAGGAGAAAGAAACATCAGTCATATCACTGTCACACTAAACTCTTATTTGAGTTGAGATGTTGAGGTTTCTCTTTCCTTCTAGCTTTCAGAATTGTATCAGCGTGTGAATAAATTGAATGCCAAATGTTAATGGATATCATTTGTAATCACCTTCATGACGAGACCTGTGGTCGGACTGAGCCTTAAGAACTCTGTTGAACAAAAAGACCACATGCAAATTATACTTAATATATTTAGTATTTAAAAAAGTATTGAAATATCTGACAGTATATTAATTACCAGAAGAACATGTGATGTGCTCACCTGTGTGCGAGGTTGTCGTAGGTGTAGGCCACGTTGATCAAGCGTTGGATGAGGTTAGTGCCCTGAACCAGGCTGAGGAACACCTGCAAACCACCACAGATCATTCAATCCCAGAATAATCACTTCAGCTTTTTAGTTTGTTCTATCTAGTGGAACATTTACCTCAGTGAGTCGAGGGATGTGCAGACCCTTCCCGTGCTCCACGGTGGATTTGCGTGATTTCCCCGGCCACGCTCGTTTGCGCTGACTGTCTGCGAGGCCGGACCAGGAGAAGACGTCGTGGTACGCCAGGTCCAGGTCAGCTGGGTCCACGGCAAACTGACAGATCAGCTTCTGCAGGCAGGCGAGGCAGTCGAGCAGCCACTGAGGAGGAGAGGGAGAGAGAGAGAGAGATTCAAAACACACACTCATTGCAGGAAACACAATATGAAGAGAAATGGTCAATGTTTAAGATTCAAACCAGCGATTGAGTAAGAGGAACTGTTCTGACAAATGGTCAAATGAGAAAGTGACTCCCACCCAACTGCATTTTTTATTTTATCTCTGTATTTGTATCTATAGTACACATCTATAGTGTAGTATTGGGTTGTCATGAACTCATGAAGATCCCACAAGCAGCTGTGAGGCTTTACAACATGCAGCTTTGTTAATAAACACACATCCATGAATGCCCAGGACGTTCTTATTGTCTCCCCTTTAAAGTAGATTCTAAAGGCAGGTGTTCTCTCTCACCACAGTCCAGGACTCCTGGTCTTTGGGCTCCAGGATGCCCGAGTTGAAGATCTCCAGGAGAAGCTGCAGACCTCCAGAGGAGACAAACTGGAGGACAGAAAGACATGTATTCAATCTAACAATTACTGTTTCTAATGTATGTTTTTTTATATTCTACATGAGCAGATTTGTTTTTACTGATCCACAGGTAGATTTGGTTTGCAGATAAAACCACAAGAGATCCATCATGTTGTTTATTGTCGTTATATGTGCATCTTTACTCAAAAACTAAACTTTAAAGGGCCCATGTCATGCTTTTCTGGTTATCACCCGTCCCCTTGTGTGTTATGAAGGTTTTTCTGCATGTAAACGGTCTGCAGAGTCACAAACCCTCAAAGTACACCCTGTAGCGAGTAAAACTCTAACACAGAGAAGACCTGTCGCTGTCCCAGAACGCCTCGTTGGAGATTTCCCTTTTTCCATTTGTTTACTTCTTGGGTATAGTGACGTATTTCGGGTATAGTGACGTAACATTACGTCCGCGGAGCCGTTACGTTTGGACCAATCCGCGGACTTCCTCACACACACACACACACTCGGCGGGACGTTGCGAGGCTCACTGCTGCGAGGAGCGGACAGTGTGAGCTGGCTCACTGGTGTGGGGTCGGCGAGACACGGCGGAACTCAGCCTGGGCACACACACAAACTCCCAGCCAGGCTGCGGGTGTGTGTGTGTGTGTGTGTGTGTGTGTGTGTGTGTGTGTTCCGGGCTGGGTTTCGCTGTCTCGCAGACGGCCACTGGGCTCACAGGGAGGGGGGGGGGGGGCAGGAGCTCCAACAAGCCGTGTAGGACAGAGAGTGAATACACATACTATACAGAGATGCTGTATGAGAAACCAATGTGAGTTTGGAACATTGAACAGTATAAATCTATTCTAGTAGACCTCAACAATGGAATTATGATCAGTAGAAATGGCCATGACATGGGACCTTCAAATACAGTGAAAGTGACCGTAATGGAATAAAATGTAGTTTTTGAGAGCCTTACGGTCTAAAAACAACAGCTCAATAAAGTGTATTATTTTTCTGTAACAGATAGAATATGTGGTACCTTGCAGCTCCAGGTGTTCTTGCTGTTTTCTATCTGATCCTCGCTGGAGTCGTCAGAGTCTGGATAAAGATCGCTGTAGCTGCCCTGAA